TCTTAAGAGTTTTACTCAATATATATGAGATTAAAAAAGACAAAAAAAAAAAATCTATAATAACAATACATAATGTAGCACAATAACCATAAACTAAGAGCATCAACCCCAATTAACTCATCAATAAGAGTAAATGAATTTTTATTTTCAAAAGTATTTTTCCCAGATCGAATTTTCAATTTCAATTGACTCATCATCGCACTATCAACAGTTCGCCCTCTAAAGAAAAAAATTTGTGCTCTAGCAGTGAAAGGATGGCCATATTATTGCAATGGTGAATCAAGGAGTGGTAAGGACTTTCTTAAGGAATATTATTATTTTTTATATATTTTAATAATATGGTCCAACATGCATCTTGTCAGAAATTTTTCAATTTTCAACGTGTTTTAGGTTGGTAAATTAGCAATAAATAAATTGGGTGGGATTGCAACATGTTTACCAAATACCAACATTAAACTCATCGGTAATTTGGGCGGGATTGCAAAATTTTTTGGTTTTTCAATTCCTACCTTGAGATCAGTCACCTATGTTAACTTTGTCAGTAAATTAAATACCGACAAAGCACACATAGGTACAGTAGACCATATATACTACACTCCAGCCCTCTGCCCGACTCATTTCTTCTTTACTTCTTCTTCTTCTTTTTTCTTCTCCTCCCTTATCTGTGGCTCCTCTTTTTCTTCAGTTCATTAATGCTGCTTGTTTAATTATTTATGTTTATAATTACATTATATTTATATGATTTTAGATTTATATCTTCTCAATCTCCTCTTTTTCTTTTTCTTTTTTCTCCATATTTGATTGAATATTATTTTGTGTTATATCAAATCAATTTATTTGCAATTCTATTTTTTTTAATTTTGTTTTTCAAGAAACATTAGGAGATAATCATTGGTAAATAAATTTTATTTATGCAAATTAACACTAAATTTCATTTATATGTTGATTAGAGCCATTTTGGTTACAATTATAAATAAATACTAACCTAATTTATTTTTTTTGAATTTTTTTAGGAAATGGTGTTCTATAATTATTTATCTATTGAGGTAATGTTTTATTTTTTTGGATTATTTAGTTATGTTTCCAGTTTATCATATTTTTTTAAATAATGTTTTAATCACTAATTTAATAGTTTTAATCATTAATTTAAATAAATAAATACAATAAATTTCTGTTTCTGTTGTAAAATTTTCATATAATATTTA